CCAATTTGACTGTGATATCCTCAAACTAAGCCCTTGAATTATTCCACTTTTCATGGAAATTGGAGAATTAGAGCCAATTTGACTGTGTGATCCTCAGACAGGCTCTTGAATCATTCCACTTTCATCGAATTGGAGAATTAGAGCCAATTACTGCTGCTATATATTTTACTTTTGGCTTGTGAGCCACAAAAGTTCAATCTAAATTCACATTTTATCCCACTGTATATACTTAAATCAGGAAAAAGCACTTCAGCATTGCACTTTCGCAGCTTTTGGCACACCATAAAAGTTCAACGAAAATGACCTGTTTTTCTGCTCCACTTTATATAGGAATTGGGACGAATTACTGCAACATTCGGACCTGTTTGATCGTTATTTGATAGAGGCAGAGGTGCTGCGCACTGTGACTAAAGCCGAGGTATGAGTCATTTGCACAACCGTAGCACATGCCATAGCACTCAGTCGAGCGTTTACATGTTTGGGTCTATGTACACTGTTTTAAGGTTTTTGGGGTTTAGGGTTTTAATTGGTCTCAGTTATGTGGTACCGTGTTGTACGGCGGCTAGTGCCTTGGCCTGGTCGTCGGTCAAAGCTCTATACCATAGCATTAAGATGATCACATTTATTCTATCACATTAGTGGATGTCCGCATTTATTCCTTTCACAACAGTGTATCTACACATGTACTCTATCATATCATATGATTGGATGCACACGTTTATTCTCTAATATTATTGGACAGACTGGCTCTGCTACCTCTGAGCCCACATTGTTAGGCTATCCGAAAGACCCAGACTTAGCCGTGAACGTTAATCATTAACGATATGAATAGCTGCAGGAACGCATACTCATACCCTGCCGCGTAAAAGCCTAGATACTCAAACCCTTAACCCTGCTGCGTGCATGTTTTGTTTACGACGGATGGTGTATACGACGGGTGGTATAGTTATAATTGAATCCTCTTGCAAAGTCTAGTACAAAGACTATAATAAATGGCATGTCCTGTATGATCTGTTTGTGTGTTTTAGTATAATTGGATCCTCTTGCAAAGTCTAGTACAAAGACTAATAGATGGCATGTTCTGTATTATGTATTTGTGTGTTTTAGTATAATTGAATCCTCTTGCAAAGACTAGTACAAATACTATAATAGATGGCATGTCCTGTATCATCTGCTTGGTGTGTTTGACGCTCACCTAAGCTAGGCAGTGTTGCATAACGTGATGTGTGCACGCGTTCCTCTCCTACTAAATATCTATCTATCGCTGCATGGCATATCTGGATATGTATGATGTGTACACGTGTTCTTTAATACCCTAAACCCTAAAATCCTACATATCTACCTATCGCTGCATTGCATATCTGGATAGGTATGACCAATCTATAGTGCCACCCAATGATCAATTGTTGGTATAAACATTCCTATCGCCACTCGGTAATGTAGGTACATATTCCTCATTAAATGTCCTTCATTAGAAATTCCAATGTTTGACTGTATTTGGAAACGTATAGATATGGCTCTCACCAAATGTCCCGATGTTTGTATTTGAAAACGTATAAATATGGTGCGGTATGTTGAAATGTAGGGAAATAAGATGAAATACAGGGGGGGAATCATGAAAAATAGAGAGATATGATAAAAAATTGGGAAATATAATGAAAAATTGGGGAAGTACAATTAAAAATAGAGCTATAGGGAGATGTAGGGAGATATGTGTGTGTGGGGGGAGGTCATGAAACACGCGAATTCACTATTGCTGTATCTGTGATCCGTTGTCCTCAGCTACTTGAATGGATGGTGAGATATATACTACCCAGCCCAAAGAGGAGACAACTCTGCATACAGGTATGTATGTGATGTACTGTATATAGTGCATACAGGTATGTATGTGATGTACTGTATATGTGTATGTGTACTTGTTTGGTTTTGTATGTGTATTTTTTATTTGGACGGGCTGGATAAATAGTATAACGTCGACAGTCGTCTGCATCATATGTCTGCGAGCTTTGCATATGTCTCTACATTGGTGGTACTAGGAGTATGCTTTATATCAATATTGTATATGGTCATATATATATTTATATATATGTAATACATATACATATATAAACATATATATATTTATATATGTATATAGATATTAATATAAATATATATATATATACATGTATACACACACGCACACACACACACAAACACACACACATATATATGTATGTATATATATATATATGTATATATATATGTATATGTATATATATATATATATATATATATAATACACGTTGCCTGCTGGAAGATTTCTCAATACTGTCGGTTGAAGCCCTGAACGTCTGATTGTCTATAGTTGACCCGTATTTCGGGTATATACCCTCATATGCTATAATAATTCAGACTACAGTCAAGACCGTTTGATATGAGTACCAATCGCAGGTGTTTTACATTAACCACATTGAAATGTTTGACAAGCGAGAGTCCACACTAGACTGACGAATCACAATAGTTTCAATCTCAATCACTTACACTTATCTAACACATTGTAATATTTATTTATTTTGGCTACACACTATACTGACAAATCACAATTGATGCTTTGGAAACCGTAGGTCTATGGTAAGAGTGAGAGCGAAGTGTCTACCGACGACACTCTCCGAGTCTCCCTAGAGGGCATAGAGATGCATCAAATCAACGATATACACAACTTCAAACGGCTCAGCTATCTATATCCGCACTTATCCGCCGCCGGAATTTAATACATCTATTATGAAAGTTCTACATTAAGGCTGGTGAAGCTCTTACTTTCTATATATATATAACTATATATATATGTATATGTATATATGTATATACACATACATACATACATATATATATATATACATATATTTATACATACATATTTACATACATACATATATATATACATACATACATACATACATACATATATATTTGTATATATATATATATATATTTATATGTGTGTGTGTTCATAGATGATCGTCTCCTGCTAATATTCGGACGCGACCATTTAACACCCCGACCAATATGGTACAACCCCGCCAGAGAAGGCGTACAGTACCAAGATATTCAGCTTTAAACACTGTTCGTTCTCGTTTGTTGTGTAATAAGGCGAACCATAGTATTGACTCGGATTAGATGGATAATATGCAACACGGGCGGGTCATAACGATACAGCAGAACACAGATTTTATCACATGCGGAAGAAAGTATATCTGGTATTATTGCCATTATACTTGTTCTCGATATAGAGGGTAGCAGGTTAGTTAGGACGCGCGCATGAGGACTTGTATTCTCTAAATAGCATACCTCTGAACTCAGCTCATTAAAATTAAACTGTGGGCATGTAAATACTGGTGTGTGACAAATATTGATGCCGTACTTATCTGAACATGTGTGAGGAGGGGAGTTTATTAGCAATTACATAAAAGAGTGTGATAGACATCGTCATAAACGTACACTTATTTTTTAACATCTAGAATGTGATGCGGCCCGGTTGTCTATAGTTGTTGCGCAAAAATGTGTATTCACCTACACATGCATACCGAAACATACAGTAAGATACATACATAGATCGCCATGAAAATCAATGCTATCTGATATGCAAAGCCCCCTATATAAACTTGGAATTGTGGGGGAACGAAAATGATTTATGGAAAGCCCATACAGGTAAAAGCAACGCTGTAAGTGTATTAACAGATACTTATATTAAAAACAAAGCGCTTAGATAAATATACTGTATTACATTAAATTCGGACCCTGCTCATTTCTGGTAGCTCTTTGGGTGAAATAAAGGAATATCAATAACAACAGAAATTTGTCAACATACAAAACATCTCGACTATTTTATTATATTGATTTACTAAAAGTACGACCCCTTCGCACGATAAACTATCTTGGCGCCCGTAGACACAGCTGGCTCATATATACGCATACGACTTACATATAACTAGGCGTCAATGTGTGCTGTAGACTCCCTGTCCGATCGCTTGTACTGCATACACCAAACGCTTGTATTCTGCTATCTCTGCCCGTTGGGCAATTAATCCCACTCTCGTGGCCCCTGCACATCTCGTATCCGTGTATCGTCCATTCCGCTTACAAATAAAATTAGTAAATCTGAATGTTAAAATCTATTAATAAACTTAGATAGCAACTCCGTGGCGGGGTATGTTAAGAATCAACGAGTTGGCTCTCTGTTTAAGGGAGTGGCGACTGACTGATGAATTGCTTCGGGAGCGCTTCTCGGGCGTGAGAGTAGGCGATGGCGTCGACGAACTGTCATCCTTCATGGGCACAGTTTTGACCTCTTCCTCAGTGGCAATCTCCGAGTCATCTTCGATAGTTTCCGACTTGAGTTCATCAGCCTCCACTGTGATAGCCTTCTCTGTATCCCCCTCGTTCGTTTCTGACTTGGGCTCAATAACACTCTCTGTGGTAGTCTCGGCAGCTGTATTTTCTACCTCAGCTGTGTTGGCAGAAGCCTGATTGACAGCCTCTTCAACACCTTCAGCCGTGGTAGGCATAGCCTCGATAGAGTTTACTGTTGGTCCCATGATTCGTTCGCTCACCATTTGCTTCGTGTTTGCTATGGCAACCTGTACCGTGGATACGATGTCTGCAAGTGGTGTGGTGGTGATCTGAGGATACTTCTCCACGATCTGGTCAAAATTGGACACCAGGATCTGGTCTACATTAGCTATGTGCTCATTGCTGAGATAGGGTGATGCTATGCCACATACTTTACAGTATACTTTCTCGGTATTTTCGGCGGCTACGGCAAAGTAATGATTTTGCTCTTTGGCATGTTGGCAAAAGTTTGCGGCGATCTCATATACGTCAGATACAACCTGAATTTTACTTAAACGTCTAAGAATGGTTGTTTCACTTCGGACTTCAGTATCAGTCTTCGTGCACATAATGTCTGTAGGATGATATTTTTAAAAGGTATCAGGTATAGTCGGTGTAAATTGTGAAATGTAGGTGTATATGAATATATGTATATATATTTAATATATATATATATATATTTTTGCAACGATACCGGTCAGAGAACCGAGTGTGTTCAGGAGATTTTTATCACATATACATTCTGTTGAGGGAAGTTGATACTTGATATGTACAAAACCGAAGCCGCCCTCCCCCCCTTCCACTAATCCACTCCCGCCGCCCGCGTTGGTATTCTCTCTTGGCAGTTGACACTTGAAGTTGGCAGTTGGCTACACAGTGAACACTGAACAGTATACACAATATATAGTATCAAATTAAATAAATAAAGAGATAAAAAAATCAGTCATTTTGTGAGCTTTAGGCTTCACTCTTCAGAAAGCTCGCCAATTCACGTGTAAAACCTGAATGGAATCTATCCCATTCTCCAAGAAGAGTCAAAAACAACGTTAAAATTCAAATTGAAAATAACTCAAAATTCGCTTCGCACATATGCAGTAAACGTTAAATGCAAACGCAAAAATGATTCCCCTAACGCCCTATGTATTTCAGTAAACTACTCACTCGAGGAATATTTATTCTTTTGAAATCCCGATAGCTCATACCCACTGATATTTAAATATTTTTATATTAAAAAAAATAATATAAACGTTCCAAACTTTAGAACGCGAAAATATGTACGATTGATTTTTTCTACAAATCATTCTTAAAAAAACCACCGCTGCAGGTAGTCAGAGACTCAGGGACAGGGAGCCAGGGCCTTGCCTGATGAGTGATGACTCATGACTTTTGAGAGTCTCGACTCTCGAGTCTTGGCTCTTGAGTTTATTCATTTCTTTTCATAAAGACCGAGGTTTTGTTAAATAAAAAACCCCAAAACCAAAAAAAAAACTCTAGTTATTTAGAAGTCTTCGCAGACCTATGACCAAGAGTATACGACCAACGGCCCTACGCCCTACGGAGTGATACGGACTCGCCCGTTCTGACGTTCTCCCTCATAAATTTCTTTTTATTAAAAAAAAACAATAATACGTTTCATTCTCACTCTCTCTCTGTGAGTCTGTAGTCTGTACTCTGTAGTGAACTAGATACTCTGTAAGTACCTATATTTAAAAATAGAGATTCAATAGGAGTTATTTAGGAGTTTATTGTCTTAGGTCTCTTGAGTTTATCTTTAGAATATTTATTTTAATATAATTACGCTCTCTGGTCCCTGCCCCTGGACCTGGGGACCCTTGGGAGTGGGGACCCGAGGTGTGTACCAGAGATTCAAAGTTTCAGACACTCTGTGATTCAGACTGCCACACTATTGTCTGTCTGCAGTGTCTGCTGTCCACACTCCACGCTCCACAACAAGTCTACAGCCACATTCTGACTTACGGGCCTCTGCTTGCGCCCTGCCCTCGGGTCCTCGGCCCTCGGCCGTCCTCAGAGACCTCAGTGAGAATTGAGAAATGAATCCAGAATAGAGATACTACACGGAGTACGGTTAAACAACCAAATTCCAATTTCTTGAGGGTTTGATAGGCCAACTGTATCAAATAATCCAACATGATGTGTACTCCTGACTCCTGAGTCCTGCCGCAGAGCTCAATTGTTCACAAATCATACGGTCGAAAAGGTGGATTTTTATTATAAATACACGATTTAACGTTTTGGGGGTCAAATATTTATGGTGAATGAAATTTTGAAAATTGCACTTACCATATGCACCTATTTCAAACGAAACGGACCATTTAGCTTAAATTAACTGTCACTGCTGGTGGATATTTATGGCGCCAAAATTGGTATCACATTAAGTATGACCTTATGAATGCACCCATCCATTTAGGAGAAGGACTAAATAGTACATAAAAGCTGAACGTAAATCGATAATTTAATTTTATATAAGCGTTATATCGAATAACATTTTTAGCTTCGACTCCTGTACGGCTCAGTTGCCTCAGTAACAGCTGTACAATACAAATTGCGAATGTTGGAATAAACGCGTTTGATTGGTTTATTGTTTTGCTCCTAAGGAAGAGGAGGCATGACATTCTTGTGTATCGTAATCATGTGCAATTGGTACATTCTAATTGAATGACTTAAGTCTGAATCACAAAAGTGAATTAAAAAAAAACAGTACTTATTTACGCCTTATTAGTTATTACCGTCTTACGGTGCCCGTGGCACCGTGGCACCGTGGCGCCGTGGCGGTCACTGACGATTATTTATTTACTCACCGACGATTATTTTACAGTCGTAAATAATTTTTTAAATGTTTTTTTAAAAGGACATGATCTTCTGAAAGAGACGCAGAAAAAGACTCAATGAGAGACGCCTCACGCCAGTCGCCCAGTCACCACTGGACGAGAGTGGACACTGGACAGGGCCTAACGGTGGTTCTGCATTTTTTATTGTTTTGTTTTGAAAAAACAATATCCGCTTGTCATACGAAAACTTCGATAAGGCTCGTAGATAAGAGTCATGGGCACGGCCTTCTTCTGAAAATTAAACAAGACGGCTTCTCCTGTTGATAGAGGGCTATGCTCTCTCTCGTGTGTAAAAATATTAAAATCTCTCACTCTCGTGTAATGAAATATTTTAGAATTAGTTGATATAGGTACAACAAGCACACATATAATACAAAGTGTACTTGTGGAGAAGCAGTCATTCTCGAATATTGATACTTCAAAAAATAAATACCATGTCTAATACCAAAAGCGAGCCTACGATTATTGCCCGCGTCGCTGCGGTACCTTTGGTGGACGCTGTTGTGTCATACACGAGTTCTATAGCTGATCGTGCGAAGAGTCTAAATGTATACGTTCGTGAAGGTGCAGACTTTATTGAATTTACGCTGAAGATGGGGGTTGAATGTATATATCTATACTTAGAGGATAGTTTGTTTATGGATTACCTGAGGAATGCGGATAGCTATCTACTTGATACATTCAATAGTTTGGTAAAGAGATATCCTCTTATCGATGCGCTTCCGATGGAAATTGTTGATGCAGCACAATTGCAATACATTCATGCAAGCGAAAGTGTGTTGACACAGTACAAGAAGACCAGAAACGGCGTCGAAGGTCGATTTAATGAGCATATCAACACAATTGCCGAGCAGTACAATGGTAGAGGAGCCCCCATGGTTGCTGACATAAAGGAACGAATCAAAGTTGCTCGTACGGATATTCAAGAGCAGGCTGCACCAATTAAGGAACGGGCTGAGCCCATCATTGCGGATTTGCAGGATGCCGCCCCTGTTGCTGCGTCCTTCAAGGATCAGTCTAATCCAATACTAGAGGGCAACCACAAGAAATCTGAGAGTTTCAGTCAATAAATGATATAACATTCCAATTCCATGCTTTATTTA